TTTCATTTTTAGGGCTTTTTCTCTTTTGTCCCCTGGTGATTCTGCAAATAAAGTTTCCTGTCTACACTCTTTTTTTCCATGGTCTTTGTGGGGACAGCCATGGCTGTCACCCAGGCTGGATATCGAGCATATTTGCCTTTGTTCATCAACATTACATGGTGGATTTATTACAAAACAGAGATGATGTTAATCGTGCTCTCTTTAAAGCACACATAAAGTGACAAGGACAATGCATTTCTGCCACAATCTATAGGTATTTTCTTTAAGTGCTGAAAATGTTCCTAGCCAGAAGAGTGCAAACACCATCACATAAGGATTGTAAGCTGCAACATTTTTGTTTTTGGGTTTAGATACACTTAAAATTTCTTCTACTTTAGTTACACTTTTAGAGACACTGAACAAAATTTGGCCAGTTCAGCAGAGACTGGCCAAATTTAGATCAGTGTGTGGCAGCACCCACTCGACAGACATTGATCCTTTGATCGTCTCCTGTTGAAGAGACATGCTCTAAAATTTATCTTAACAGTTGCAGGCGCAGATGAGTGCTTTCTGATAGTGACAGGTCCAGCTGACAGAACAGAATGTCCCAGCAATGGTACCACCTCCAACCACCTCATTCGTGCAAATAGAACCGGTTATGTTTTTTTGTTTAGCCTCCTGGTTGAACAAAAAAAACCCCCAACATAATAACAGTTATTAGCTTTACTTCAAAGACAATTCTGAACAGCAGATCATGGCAACAACCTATCTGTACAATAATACTGACACAAGTGTAAAGTGCCATATTCTAGAACACAGATAATACCAGATGATTGCACATTCCCTTCTAGATATTACTGATGCCTTTTTTAATAAAGGCTTCAAGCTGTATAAATTAGGAGGAAACATCATTAGAGCAATTCAAGCTAAATTTTGTTAACTGCTAACTTTGACAAAAATATCAACTTCTGTGAAATACTAGGATGTAAGAACATAATACATACCACTGAAGCTTTCTGGAGGTACTCGCTACAAATCTGTGCTGAATAATCTAGTCTAATCTGATCACCCAGTGACAGCGAAGAGCTCCAGTGGTAATAATTAAATACATCCAGGTCAATATTCTAACCTGAAGAGCAGGAATGTAGACGGGAAATCGGTAAGCCAATTTGTATTATTATATTCATTGTTGGGAAGAGGAAAAGCTTAAATGTCTTATGTGTATCAAGAACCAGGTATGACCTGAAGCTCCACCCCTGCCCTAATACACAGAATCCTCCAGCCACCCATCACCCCCTCCTCCTGCCCTCCAATAACACAGTGCCACACAGAGTTCATGCAGCCCAGACACTAAATACACACTGAGCCAAGTAATGTAACATGCTGCTACAAATACTGTTCAATATACATTATGAGGAGTTCAATAAAACCACAAGCTGCTTGTGGTGATACCTGCTTAAGAGACTACAAAAACACTTCCTATTCAAACAAGGATGTTCTGCATTTTCTAGGACTTGAAAATGGCATACCTGCTTAATGCCAATTCATGTTGGCCTTCAACTTCATCTGATTTCTCTGATAGCTATTATTTATTTCAGGTACTTCTATAGCGTTATCAATTTATGCAGCACTTTACATATATATTATCCATGCACATCGGTCCCTACCCTCAAGGAGTTTACATTTTAAGTCCCTAACTCACATTCATATGTTGTACATAATAGGACTAGTTTAGACAGAAGCCAATTAACCTACCAGAATGTCTCTGGAGTTTCTATGGTTTTATGTTTCTATAGTTAGCCTGTATTCTCGACTTCTAAAAAGCCCCAAAATGAAGCTTTGAAAAAAGAATAGTAAAGCTGGCCATATATTATTATACAATTTTTCCTATAGATAAACCAAAAGCATAAAATGAGGTCCAACCTATACAACACTTTCAATTTGTATCCAATCAGGAAGGTCCTTGCACTACATAGTTGAAGATAAGTCTAAAGGAAATTGTACAAGAAAACTGTATAATGTATGGCCAGCTTAATATGTGTTACTGGTCCTGTCACATTCTTCACACCTGGTCCAATGAAGCATCACCCACAGCCACAGCATGAGAGGGAGGTTGCAAAGCGCAAGAGTCAAGAGTCTACAATACCACATAGCAGAACCCTGACACAAACTGAAACATCTACTTGGGAATATATACAACAGACTAAAGCTACCCATACATGGATCAAAATTTGGCTGGTTCAGCGGGGCACCGGTCAAATTTCAATCCATTCAAGGGCACAGTGGTGGAACCATCCTGTTGGAAAATTTCTGCTAAGCTATGGCCTGCAGAGCTGATCAACATCACAGCAGAGAGGATTCCCCCATCCACACACAAGTGGTCGAATGGAAAAAGTGACTAATGTATGGGTTGCCTAAAAGGCATCTCTAAGGTATTTTTTACATTAGCAATGTTTCCTGGATGGTGTTAGCAGATCAATAATTATTATACTTGCTGAGGATTTAAAGAAATACAAATTTCATTTGTGTGAAAGACAGTTTGTGACATTCAGATTCTGAATCTATCACGAGCATGTCAGGACTAACTATAGAGTGTAATTCACTACAGCATAATGCATACTGTATTTTCACTCACCAAAGCCAATTGGAAAAAATGACAACTGTTTTTTGCTACGTAAACTACTGCTAGCTTTTTTTTTTCCCCATAATAGGTTTTCAAATAAAACAATCAAAGAAACGTGTCCACAGATTCAACAAATACAGGTCAACATCCGAGCTGGTACAAAGTTTAGTAGGATTGTACAGGTTAAGGTTCAATATATAAGCAAAAAACATCTGTGGTGTCAATACCCCAAAAGGGGTAAGAAGCCATTATTATTTACCAAATAAGATACAGAAACTAAAGTTAAAAACAAAAATAAATAAATAAAACAGATATTTAATAAAGGTCCAGGAAGGTACTGCATACATAAAATGTAGAGAAGTTAGAGTCAGCTGGTCACTATTCTAGGCCCAAACGTGGTAGGTGACCCCCAACAACTTTCTGGGAAGCTACTGAGGAACCTGTTAGGCCACAACCCTCTATCTCAAATGTTCAACTGCCTGTGGCTTTCTGGGAACAAACCAAAAAAGGATTCCTTGATGACCAACAAAACCGTTATATTCCAGTAACAGGACATCAGCTGGGTATAGTCATCAAAACTTTAGAAATGTGACCAACAAGCCCAGGTAGTCGTACAGGATTTGATTCTATCGCCTAGCTTTTTACTGGCATTAAAGTGGCATTATCACAAGGGGATAGTGGGGCTCCCATTGTTTTTTTAGATCCAAACTCAAAACAAACATGCTGCAAATGATTGATAGAAGCGTTTCAGAATTCCTTTTCTATATATGTTACAGGTCTGAAAATCAGAAAGCACTGAAGCCAAAGCTTCATTATGACAGCCAGGGAACAATCGCAAAAGAGAATTTAACAATAGCAATCGCAATCTGAAAGATACTCACAAGGGTGCACTTTTAGGTACGAGTCCTTAAATTGTATCCAATTAAACAGCTTGTAAATATCCATCTCCTACGCTGAAGGCTAAGTCTCCACAATGAAGGTCAACATGGGATGAATGCCTTCTAACAGGTTTAAGGAACGGAAACCCATTTGGAATTGTAGCCATGAGATACTACCACCTGGGCCCGTGTGAGCTTCTTAAAAGTCTGAAAACAAACAAGCCCCCCACATCTGATGGAACCTGCGGAAGCACACTTTCTAGCAGTGGAAGACTTCTCTACAAGCTTGGAACCCTTGAATTGTCATGAACATTTAGAACCCCCTGACCCCGAGGGAGAGGAAGGTTTGCTGGCCTGAGAACTGGAATCTAAACTAGAGGAATGAATGGAACATTTTGAAGCACAATATGAAGTTGTCAACCAGCTCCATTGAAACATTATTTGTGTAGCTGAGGTGAGCATTCCATCCACAAATTTGAATGTTTAGATAGGGGAATCTGGTCAGTTTATTTCATTCAACACACGACTCATCTATGGGCAGCTTAAGTCACCTCCAGCTGTGAAGTAAGGGGAGAGTCTCTAGGACTGTGGGTCACCTGACCATCGCAGCAAATATTAAACTTTCCTGTTAACCATCCTTGTGCGCAGACACCAAAGTTAAAATCATGACTGAGGGCACATACAGCTGAAAGAGCAAGTTCTCACATAAGTGAGTCTCTAATTTCTGGGACTACTGGAAAAAGTGGCTTCCTATGTGTGCTCATGCAAATATTTTCCTCACCCTTGTTTGCATCACCAAGGCCTCAGGAGGAGGCAGGAAAAAATTAGTGGTTTAGCAGAAACGGTGCCTGGCCGACCAAGTAAACAAAAAAGGTACATCACTCCCTGTAAGCCCGAGAGTAAAGAAAAAGAATGATACTCCAGTCACAAAAATTTCCATCCTGCCAAGCTAGAAAAAAAAAAAGGAGTGCCCTGCCCTGAAAAAATAAAGTCTTGCAGGAGTAAAATAATAATTATGAACTTTAGCTTAACTCTACCACCTTCGCCCCCTTCTAACTTCCCCCGAAGCCCTGCAGATTTTCTTTTCCCTTATCCACTTGGGAACTGCAGGCCATCTATCACCTGTAGAGCCGCCTGATAAATTTTACAGTCATGTCAACATGTTCTATGAGGAAAGCACTATAAGACCTTTAATGATTTAAAGGTCATCTGTATTTGGTGGGTTGAGGAAAACTATGGAGACAGAGGGGTTAAAAGGACACCTGGAATATCCTGGTTACAGCAGCCTTCATGTTTGCAGTGGATGATGCAATGCACAAGCTCTTGTGGACTTCTTCCAGCTCCTTGTCTGTACCAAGACTTTCAGATAGAGAGCTGGAGAAGTGTCAATGGACTAAATTCTGGCACCTGTGTTCCACAGATAACTGCACATTCTGTCTGTGTGGCTGTAGCAAGATGTCACACCCTAAATATGGGTGCAGCATGCAACATACTAAAGTACTTCTTTGACCCCACCATACCTCTCCAGCTGTTTCTGATGCTTCTCCTCTCTGGCTTGGGCCTTCATCTGCTGCACCTCGATTGTATCAGGCTTCCTTCTTCTCATGTAGAGTTCGTGGTTGCCCATACATAGGGCTAATATTCGCTTATTTATTCTTAAACGGGGAGCATAAAACACAAAGTCCTAAAAAAAGAGAAGATATAAATGCTTAGCAAATCTGCTCTTGGTACTTTTGGAGAAATTTGTATAAAACAGCCCTCACTCACCTCTTAATCTTACAAAAAAGCAAACTGAAATTACAAATTTTTCCTTAACTTTGTCAGGTGCAAATTATCACACTGGTGTTCAAAATAGAAAATAATAATTTGCATATATTTAAAGATAAACTCTAGGCAAAACTGTACGTACGTACGTATATACATTTTTTTTTTAAATTTATTTAAACTGTAAGGAGAGGAAGATGAGCAAAAAGAGCCCATCAGTTCTGCAGTGTTTATAAACCTCTATGGCAGAATGTTATAAATGAGCTAATCAGTCTGCTGCTTCCTCTTTTACTGTCCTGTCATAAGGTGAAGGTTGGCTGAAGACCTGTAAATGTTTTTGACCAACACCAAAGAAAAATCAGATTTCCTGCCCTGCCAGACAAGGCTGTGTGGCAGTTCTAAAAAAAATTAAATAAATAAAAATAAACGCTAAGATGGATATAAAGAAATACAAATTCTTTGGCAGGTTAAAATAGCCCTAGTGCAAACAAAGACTAGAAATTGGTGTGGTGCTGCCCCTATAATCTATTGCAATGGCAATAAAACAAATGTGCACACTTGGATTATAGTGCACCTCCCTCGGAAACAACTCTAGTGCATAGAACCCTAGGCTGCAATGTGAATGAAAAAAAAAATCTACAGTAAGAAAAAAAGCAAAAAAAAAAAAAGCAGTAAAACACCATGAACTATAGTGCACCTCCCCCTAAATTTAAGGAATTGTATGTTTAGGGGGAGTTGCACTATAGTCCACGTATAAGTGTGCACAATTGTTTTATTGCCATTGCAATAGATTATAGGGGCAGCGCCATATCAATTTCTCTCTCATCTTCCTCACCTTACAGTGAAAAAAAAAAATGTATATATATATGTATGAGTGTGTATATACATACATACACATATCTATCAGTCTCTGGTCATTTCCTGTACTACATCCGCAGTCTCTGGTCATTTCCTGTACTACATCCACAGTCTCTGGTCATTTCCTGTACTAAGTCTGCAGTCCATTGGTTCAGAATATTTTTCTTCTTGTGTTCCTCCTCTAAAACCTAGGTGTGTCTTATAGAGCGCAAAATACGGTATAGAGATATATATATATATATATATATATATATATATATATATATATATAAACTTTGTATATAGCATTTATGCTTTGAAGGATTATAAAAAGACATTTGGAAATAGCAGCTGCTGCAGAAAGTCAACTTTCAACTCGTACATCTAAGTCACTTCTCTTACCGGCGCTTTCTTGTCAATAGGTTTTATAACAAACTTTTTGTCATTAAATGAGATGTTCCTGATTTCACTCCAAGGAAATCCAATTTTGGGTGTCAGCCTTAAGAGAGAAAGAAAAGGACACTTGAATACTGACTTGACATTGAGTTTCAGAGGCATTGAGAAAATAGGGGAAGATTTTTTATTTGCACAGGTTTTCAAGTGAACGATCGAAAAATGTCACACTCAAAATCAAGATAGCTGAGCCATTTAATTTAGGAACCCAAAAGCAGCATTACATTACCTGAGCAAGGGTACATTGTGACATCATGGCCAAATTACATTTTCTTTATCAGTTTTAGAGTTTAACAACTACAAAGTGAACTCCATAATATCCAGCATTTACTACCAAATGCAGTTCTAGTGACTATGGATGGAGAATCTCTGTACAGTAACTTCCTACACAAGGATAGGATCACTGCATGTCACAGATTCTTATCCTCAGCACTGTATTTGTGATTTAGCGGTGGTAATGATACACTGCTCACTGAGCAAAATTTAACACACAACTATTTCACTTTATAATAATGACAGCTTTGGTGTACAGGTACTGTTATGGGAAGTAACATGGCGCCCCAACATGCTAACTTTTTTTAAACCTTTGCTAATTTATGGCTGAGCTCGACGACAAATTCCATAACAGCATAAAACAAAAGCCATGTACAGTAATAACTCGGTTTACAAATGACTGTTAATGTAATTTTCGGTTTACAAATGAAAATCCATTGCCTCGGTTTATGAATTTTTTTCGCAATACGAAGTGTATATCAGCGCTGATTTTTAAATGCAATTGCTGGCTTTTTTTCTTCTTCACTATAGCTCACAGAATTAGCTGTCAATTTCCCCAGAGTTAACGGAAACTGTTTCCTTTGAGAAACTAAAAGGAAACACTTGCTTAACTCGGGGAAATAAACTAAAGGAAAACTTTCTTTTAGCTGGGGGGAAGTGACACCTAAATCGTGAGCTATAGTGAAGAGAAAAAAAAAAAAAATGCGGTAATTACATTTAAAAACTGGCACCATAATAAATAAAGAAACAGCGTGGGTTTCCCCCCTCCCATCCATACAAAGCCCTTAGGGTCTGGTTTGGATTTTGAGGGGAACTCCCACGCCAAAATTTACAAAAAGATGTCGTGATCCCCCCCCCCCCAAATCCATACCAGACTCCTATCCGAACATGCAGGCCGGTAAAAGGGTGGGGGAGGTGGCGAACGAGCGCCCCCCCCCCCCCCTCCTGAACCATGCCAGGCCACATGGTACCCCTACTCATTCACAAAAACCAGTGTAGTGTGAAAAAGACAGGACACGGTCTTTAACAAGTCCTTTAACATACAAAATTAAAAGAATGTCCCCCACTGTAGACCCAACATCAATCACGATGCCTGCCGTCACCACCGACCCGAAAAAAGAATTAAAAAAAAAAGGCTTCTCTTCCAACAATGGCTTCCAGCCTACTGCCTGCTCTCGTGGTTTGACAGTTCTTAAATATGTAAAGGGTGGGGCCACCCGGGGACATCACCCGAGTGACCCCGCACCATGTGACATCATTGATGTCACATGGTCACATGGGGGTGGGGTCACATGGTCGCTCGCCCTCCCCCCCCCTTTCCTGACCTGCTGGGCTGCATGCTCAGATAAGGGTCTGGTATGGATTTTTGGGGGGACCCCCAAACCATTTTTTAAAATATTTTGGCGTGGGAGTTGCCCTCAAAATCCATTCCAGACCTGAAGGGCTTGGTATGGATGGGAGGGGAGACCACACGCCATTATTTATATTATTTTTTTAATTGCCGGCAATTCTTATACATTCAGCTGTCAGTGGGGAACCCCGCTGACAGCTGAAACATTAACACATGGTTGTCAGTACTAAAATACCACATGACTTGATAAAATAACTCATGCGGTATTTTAGTAGTGTTTACTTTTTTTTCTGATCTCCAGAATGCATTAATTGGTTTTCAATGCATTCCTATGGGAAACGGCGTTTCAGTTTACAAATTTTTTTGCTGTGATTAACCTATTAACCTAAAAATCAGTTCTGATATTGCAGTTTTAGTAACCTGACAGCTTATTATTCTAAAAAGGAAACCTTCATTTGGTTTGCAAATATTAAAGATTCTAACTACCAGCAAGAATGAGTCCAATTCCTTACATTTAAAGAGCACTTGTCATTTTAGAACCATCATGGCAGCACCTGTTAGCGGGCATACACTCATCTGCTGCAGCCAAGTCCCTCACCTTGTGTCACTGCCGCATCACCAGCTGTCCATTAAAGTGAGTCAACAGCGGGTCCAAGGAGGAGCTGCGGCGGGACAGTTGCTCTTTAAAAATTATGATTTAAATTGAGCCTTTTCACTAGTGATTAAATCAACTTGATTTAAATTAAATCCACCCCGACAATAAATGAGCTGTTGTACACAGCCAAGCCACTACATACTTGCTGCTGCAAGAACCTGGTGGCCAAAGGGTGCATCTGCAGATGCTTGGATGTCCACCTGGTAAGTTGGAAAAGGTATAAACTGAACACCAGATGGTGGCCTTACAAAAGCTGGGCAACAAAAGATTGATGTCAGAATATTCAGGAAGCCCTCACTGATCTGGTAGAGAGAACAGGTAATGATGGTGAAGGCGTTCTATCTTTTTGAGTGTAATCTTTTGAGATGAGCTGAATTAACCACCCAGCAATAGTGGAGTTCGAAGTAGGATGCTCTTTGTAAGGCCCTGTTGGTAAGACAAAAGAGAGTCCATCTATCTGATGGAAGCTATGACTTTCAGATAAACGGATATCTCTGACAACATCCAGACAAAGAAAAGCAATCTCTATTGGGATCAGGGCACAAATGAAGGCCCATGTCTTCATTTAGGTGGAAGGTTGATATCTTGGGTGCAAGACTACTTTGTCCTTGTGAAAAATCACACAGAGTCTAATAGATGAGACGGCCACTAAAATGGCCACCTTATAGAAGAGATGAAATAAAAAAAATTTTGATAGCATCAAGTGGTTTTTGCAGGACAGGTAGAACCAATTTAAGATCTCAAGGAAGCATAGGATTTTTCAAGGATGGTCAGAGAAAACACCTTGCCTTGGTTATTGAACCTAGAAGCCAGGATATCCACATTTGGAGATCCCCATTTCTGACACAGAAGATTGAAGATGTCAGGATTAAGAAGAATCCTTTGTCCAGTCAGTGATGAAGGGCTTTCCAATTGCCCACTCCTGGGATATAAAACAGCAGATATCACTGGGGCAGTGTTACTTACAAGACTTACTTCCATTAAACCTTGCTCACTCCTGGTACCAACCTGATAATTGATATACAAAACAGCCTACTGCACCTTGATTGGGTGCCCCTGTGATGCCGAGCTAGTATTATCTCTCTGAGTTCCAGGATGTTGATGTGGAGGTTTGGCTTCCCTGAGTGACCATATTCCCCAACCTGTGAAGCTGGCATCTGTTGTTTTCATCCTCCATGGATGTAGTAGAAACTTCCCCATTGTCAAGGCTGGATTTGCAATCTACCAAGCTTGCAAGTTTCTTGCTTGGCTGTAGAGACGCAGAAGGAAGTCAGAGAAGGTGTTTCCCCCAGTCCAACAAGATGTTGCATTGGAGAGGCCTTGAATGGAAGTGGACAAAGGAAACAGCCTTTTCACCCCGAGGCCCAGACTCTTACCGAGGTATATTTCTTTGATAAGATCCAAGCACAAGATCTTCGAGAGATGAGTTTGTTTGCCTGGGCTGTGTTTAGAACAGGGGTGGCAATTAATTTTCCCAAGAGGCCACATGAGAAGCTGGAGGGCCGAACTTAATTCTGCTCACTATTAATTTTGGACCTGGGAAAGTCTTTAAGTACGTAAACATATGGAAAACAAACATCTGGTGCCAGGAATAATAGATACAGCCGCTAATAAAATAGGCCTCTTTCAGACAGTGGTAAGAGGGTTGTAAAAACGGGCTTCTGAACCATGGTTTTACAGCTCCCCATCCAAACTGCAAAATAATAGCTGGATGGGGCTGTTCACACACTGCGGCATTTTCTCCTTGGGCTGCTGAGTTGGACAAGTGTCGCTTGTCAAACTGACTCACTGAGTTCAACAAGGCTGCGCTGCAACCACATACAGCGCATGCAAATGCAGCATGGTTATGTGGCATTATAGGGTTAACCGATTGTGGCCCTGGGGCCGCAATTTTCCCAGGTCTGGTCTAGATTGAGGCCTAAGTATTTTAGGTGAAGTGGAGGCGGGGGGGGGGGGGGGGGGGGGGGAAAGACTTGTGAAAGTCAATTCAACTGAAAAGCCAGAAGTATCTGAATAGTCATTTGGACATTTATACATAGAGTACCTAGATGACCTTCTGAAAGACTCCTCTTCATCTGTTACCTTAATGTCCAGAGTTCTTAAGAGGGCAAGAAGGATGTAAGTACCTTTGTGAATTTTCTGGGTGCAAAAAATAGGCTAAATGGCAGTGAGACAAATTGGAACGAACGGTTTGTCTCCTACTGCAAAACAAAGGAATAGTTGATGAGGTGGGTAAATGAGAATATGTAGATAAGCATCTTGAATGTCTACTGATACAAGGCATTTCCCTTGTCTCAGAAAAGCAATAATGGACTTTGCTAATTTCATGCAAAACTTTGGAATATAAAGATACTTCTTCAAGAATTTTAGGTCCAGGATAGGACGAACACCCCCCAATAGGTTTTAGTACCATGGACAGGTTTGTGTAGTTTGAGTAGAGTCTTTTGAACTGGTCCTCCAGAGGGGTAATAATGAACACTGTGGGACATGCAATGGTTCAGGCCGGTTTACAAATCTGACTGTCCTTGAGCAGGTTTTGACTGGTTTGAGAAAAAAAAAATCTTGCGTTTTGAAATTTTGTACCCCTTTGAAACCACAGACTGAAGCCAGAGGTCTGGGATGAAAGGCAAATATAACAGACTCCTCCCACGGATAGGTCATTGTGAAGAAGATTTTGGGGTAGACTTGATGGATTTTTACTTTCCAAGCATTGCACTGAAAGGAAGGGCTGGGTCTTGGCTTTACAGATTGAGGAGGGTGATGGGGAACTCTTTTAGGGAGGTGGAACACATGAGCTGGGGGGTGTTTGCGTGGTTGTTGGGGACATCTGTTGTGGAAGAACGACCTTTCCACCCATAACATCTTTGAGGAATGTGTTCACTGCCTCACTAAACAGACATCCTCCTTCAAAAGGACATAATAGAGTGAGGTATCATTTACGAACAGTTTCAACTGCCCAGGCTTTTAACCATAGAATTTTTGTGTCATGACTTGTACAACAGCATCAACACAAAAGAGTAAGGTGAAGATCAGTGTCTAATTGCTCGGCTAAAATTTGCTCTTGGAAGACAAGTAATTTGCCCTAGTCCAATTAGCTGTTGTCTGACAAATTGCAACAATAACCAGTTGCAGAGCTGGGACTGTGAGGTTAATTAGAATCTTAAGGAGATTCTTAAATTTGCTGTCAGAAGAATCTTTAAACTAAGGACATCTTCTATAGGTATAGTAAGATCTTTGCTTAAGACTGAGATGGCAGGGTCTACTAATGAAACAGCCCACTTTTTTGTGAACCCTTCTTCCACTGGAAAGTATTGTGAGTGGTGAATATTTTTTTCAGGGTAACCCCCAATTGTCATGAATTGCCCATTTTATTTGGTCGCCAATGGGGAATGTCTATTTAGACTTACCAGGTCTCATACTACCTAAGGAGGCATGGTGAAACGAAGGAGAATCAAGTGCATCGATGCTAAGGATTGTGAGCAAAGCAGAAGAGAATATCTTTTTAATCACAAGCATATTGCATGAAGCTGCAACATCGGTGTGTATAGAAGCCTGGGGGGAAAATCTTCCATGGCCTCCTCTAACATCACCTCTGGAGCCTTTTCATTCCCATCAAGGACTCAAAGAGAAAGAACAGGAAGGTGCAAACACCTTGTGCATTAGCAGCGATTTGTATAAAATCCAATAGTTGCCAAGTAAATACTCACAAAAGTAGAAAAGGAAGAGACGTTAAAAATAAAAGATGTCATAGTGTGGAAATCGCTCAGCTCTGAAGGGGGTGTGCCCCCGAAATGCATAAGCTTGGCAGGGTTGCGCGTTTACACGCGGTTTCCACACTGAGGCATCTTGTGTTTTTAATGTCTTATCCTCTTCTACTTTTGTGTGTATTCACTTGACATCTATAGGATTTTATACAAATAATCACTGGCAATGCACTAGGTGTTTGCATCTTTCTGTTCTCTTTGTAGTTGTTATGGGACTCCCCTATCTGAGGTCATACATTTTTGACCCCTTCTGGCATAGGCTGCATTGTGAGTGCTGGGAATGACTGTTTTATGTTGATGTCCATCAAGGACTTTATCTATAAGAGCAGGCAATTCAGTTTCTGACTACAGTAGAAATATGAAGGGGGTGGAGATGGGAGCCTACCACTTCTGAGACCGGCATAGTGATGGCTGTAATAAAGCTATTCGGTGTCTGAGAAATTCTGACACGGTTGCAGAAAAGTCTGCCTGTATCAGAAAGGCAGCTTGTCAGAGAGCTAGAATCAGGTGCAGAGACCAATGTTAAAAAAATGGTTGTACTCTGGTGCAAGGGACGTATCATCACTTTAAGCAGTTTGAGTGCAATGAAGGCTTTCGGCAGAGTGAATGTTTGCCTGAGCTTTTGCCATGGTTCCCTTGCGCCTGGTTTCAGCAACTATAAATTAGGGCATGCCACTGTGGGGTAATAACGATAAGAGTGTAGAAATAGAGTAAGTGTGTCTGTGAAGGAGTACAGAACAATGGAGGAGCCAACCATTCTGTAGTGAAAGTGGCTGAGTACCTTATAAAGAGCTCCATGCAGACGTAGTAGTGTTTTTTTTTATGTTTACGACCACATCACCACAGAATATCTGTTAAATGTTATCTACTACTATTCCAAGAAAAAAAAAAATTATTTCAGGAGGCAACTCACATTAAAAAAAAACAAAACATTTTCACTTACTTGTCTTCGTGTTCATATATATTAAGGCCCAAGGCATCCACACCCAGCCATAGTTCCGTGCCCTTTTTATTTTTGATCTCAAAATAATTTACTCCGTACATTTCTAGATCCTGAGCAATTTTTAGATACTCCATCATAGAATCTTCCCTGTAGAGAAAATAAATACCATAAGAATATTAAAAAGTCTCCACACTTTAGACTAGAAGTCAGACATTGTGCCTCTAGTAACCTACAAATCTAAATCAGATTGATGCACAAGGAAAGGTTTTCTAAGATCATGTCATTCTGGTGTGGGGATATTGGGACTGAATGTTTTAGGCACTGGATTGTTTGCTTCCAGCACAGAATAATGGGCGACAGTATTAAGGCTTTGTTATGTGAATAGATTGGTTTTAGGACCAATTTAGGGTTAAAGTGGAAGTTCAGTCAAACTAACTATACTTAACTCTACAGCCACCTCATTATTTTTTAGTGTTGGGGATACTTTCTAAAACACCAGCCAACTACAGTATGTACATTATCTGTGCTAGGAGCCGCACTTCGTAAAAAAATCATGATACATTTTTCTCAGCATGTGGTACTGGTAGTTTTCTATTGTATTGCAGGCACCTTCTGGTTCTTGGTCTTTGATAGCTTCACAAAATGTGTGGCCTTTCAGAAGAAAAGAGCCTGACAATTACTAACCAACATGCAGTTGAACTGAACTTTCTTTTATACACAAAATGTCTTTACAAGAAATTTGCCATTACTGTGAGGAATTGTTTAAAGAAGAAGTACAGTCAAAGCTCTTTTGGCTGTACTTCTCCTGTGGATCACAGGAGTGCAGTTCATTTGTGGGGCAGAGCAGACAGCGTTCACTAACAGCACCACTCTCTGCTCAGAACAGCTGTGAGAACTCAGCAATCATGTGATCACCGAGTTCTGACCCTTAGAGCCAGTCGAGAACTGATGCTGCATCCACCTAGGTAAGTATGATTTTGGGGAAAAAAGGAATTCCCATATTCTCTTTTAATAACCTTCTATACAGGTTATGCAACTAACACAAAAAAGAAAACTGAGTAGATATAACCTGACACTGCCCCGTTGGTTTTGTGGTAAGCCCAGAAGTGACATTTCCAGTGGAGTGTGGTGGGTCAAGTCACGCACAAGATTCTGTTTTCTGGACATGACCAGAACAAGATCCTCCCACTGCAAGATTTAGTTATGATCACACTCACATCAAAAACTGATGCAATCCCAAAAACAGAAAAAATGGACATTCAACAGGAAGAATGACAGCAGCCCATAAACACAGCTACAGATTTGCAGTAGTGGGGAATCGGAAAAACAATTTTGTGGCTCGAGTCCCAAGAAAGACATCAGAAACTATTGGAAGGTTTTAAATTCAAACATCTTGAAAAAAACAAATACCAAATTTTGGGTAGACTGATCTAATATTTTAGCTGATACAGCAGTTTTTGCTTTTTTTTGGCCATGTTTAAAAAAATCAATTAAGGCATGAAGATAACTTAAATCCCCCAATGTATTATATATACACGAGAGCTTGTCAACTTGTGAGATACAGCCCTGGCCAAACGTTTTGAGAATTACACAAATATTACATTTACCTGCAAGGAAACACGTGCAGTCATCATTGCTTTGCACAAAAAGGGATTCACAGGCAAGGATATTGCTGCTAAGATTACAACTAAATCAACCATTTATCGGATCGGATCATCAAGAACTTCAAGGAGAGAAGATTAATTGTTGTGAGGAAGGCTTCAGGGTGCCCAAGAAAGTCCAGCAAGCGCCAGAGCTTGCACAGGAATGGCAGCCGGAAGGTTTGGGTGCATCTGCATGCACAGTGAGGTGAAGACCTTTGGAGGATGGCCTAGTGTCAAGAAGGGCAGCAAAGAAGCCACTTCTCTCCAGAAAAAAACATCAGTGACAGACTGATATTCTGCAAAAGGTACAGGGATAGGACTGCTGAGTACTGGGGTAAAGTCATTTTCTCTAATAAATCCCCTGACTGTTTGGGGCATCTGGGAAAAACCTTGTCTGGAAAGAAAAGGTGAGTGCTACCATCAGTCCTGTGTCATGCCAACAGTAAAGCATCCTGAGATCATTCATGTGGGGTTACTTCCCAGGCAAGCGAGTGGGCTCACTTGCCATGAAAAAAGAATGGTACAAAAACATCCTCCAAGAGTAACTTCTCCCAACCATCCAAGAACAATTTGGTAATGAACAATGCCTTTTCCAGCATGATGGAGCACCTTGCAATAAGGCAAAAGTGATAACTAAGTGGTTTGGGGAACAAAACAACAACATTTTGGGTCCATGGCCAGGAAATTCCCCAGACCTTATTTCTATTGAGAACTTGTGATCAATCCTCAAGAGGCGGGTGAACAAAAACCCCCCACAAATTCTAACAAACTCTAAGCATTAATTATGCAAGAATGAGCTGCCATCAGTCAGGATGTAGCCCATAAGTTGATTGACGGAATGACAAGGTGAACTGCAGAGGTCTTGAAAAAGAAGGGTCAACACTGCAAATATTGACTCTTTGTATAAAACTAATGTAATTGTCAATAAAAGCCTTTGACACTCATGAAATGCTTGTAATTATACTTCAGTATACATAGTAACAAATGACAAAAAGATATAAAAACACTGAAGCAGCAGACTTTGCGAAAATTAATATTTGTGTCATGTTCAAAACCTTTGGCCAGGGTTGTATACACACTCTCCCATCTGATGTAACAACCAAAGTGTGTGTAAAACGGTCTGCTGCCAGGGATGTATGCTATACGTCAGTGGCAGTAAAAGGATTAAATACCTAGAAATACTATAGGCCTCACACAGTGAGTCAGAATTAATGGATGTACAATGTAAACAGGCTATCATTATTCATACCTTAACATGCTCCTATGCTCTTCGTGCCAGGTTTGTATCCTTTCTTCCCATTGTTCTTTTGTCAGTTTATGTTGTTCCAGAACCCTAGAAAAATTAACCGAACAATGTTAAATATTCATTGTTTAAACCAAGTGCTGGAGAATGAATGTTAGCACAGTTCAAGCTAAACCAACAGATTGTGTGAAAAACTGGATTAGTTTAACTCTTGGGTTATACTGTGGCCTACAGGAGGTTTGGACACTGGCAACCAAAAAAAAAAAACACACACAAAACTGTACAGCAGTCCAGGATAACCCCACCTACTACTTGAATACTACAGTTTTGTAGCGAGCAGTGCCAAGAGTGTAATCATAAACACAAAGTAATGGGACCTGTGTCCCTCAATGGACTCCAAGAAAAGTATTTTTCGGCAAGTATAATCCGATTTTCTTTGTCATCCATTGAGGGATAAAGCAAGTGTTCCAGCTTCAGGATGGCCAACTGAGGGTTGAACAGAGCAGCAACAAATGCTAACAAAAAATCTTGGGACTGCCTACAGCTCAAAAAGTTGCCTTAAGGACCTTTCACCGGAAGCTGGTATCAGAGGAGTCTACAACATCCACCTGGAAGAAATCAGAGAACAAGTGAACAATAGATCAGGTGGCAGCCTTGCAAATCTGAGAAATAGTTGTTTGATGCTGAGAACTTCAAGGAGCACTCAATGATCTAGTAAAGTGCACCTTACTATGAAAGGGTGGACCCAATCCTTGAAACCATACGCTTGGATGATGGTCTGTCTTGGCCACATACAGATAGTGGAACGAGAAGGCAGGATGTCAAAATGGAATCAGTCATTCTGAAAGAAGCAGGGGCTGAAAGACAGTCCTGGCCTGAGCACCACCTTTCCCCTATACAAAATTTCATCTTTGCAGAGCATCGAATCAGTGTTTCCCACACTTTGCAGGACCCTTACACTACCAGTTCGTGCTACTGTCCTTCAGCCTCTTGTCTGCATCTTTAGTGCTCAGCAAGGTGCTGGCCCCTGTACTAGACCTGCTTTTCTCTTGTAGTACGCTCATTGTGAGATCGTGAGAAAACCTCCCGGTTTTCATTTCCCACCATGATTCAGCTGTTCCTACCCTACTTTGTCATGTTCAACTATATAGGGATCTCTCCGATTTCAAGATAAATTTACATGCCTTTACAATGACCATCCTCCCACAGCTTTTATATTACATACAGTAATTTCCCAAATACATCCCCCAAGCCTTCTTTACACACATACATTCTCTAATAAAGTTGTTCATTCGGGACAAACAACCCAGAATAGGTAACGCTCTCCTCACTCTGCCCAAACAACATGGTAGTACTGGCCTGTCAGACAAAGGAAACTACTATAAGGCCCTACATCTATCATGTATTTTGATCTGGTGTGCACGTCAAACAAAAAAATTGGATACGAGGGGAACAGGACAGCTCCACAATACCATTACCCATTCTTGCATGGCTCCTATTGACCAACTGGCAAACCTTCAAGACCCAGCCAACACCAAGCATTTCCATTACCAGGGATCTCTCTCCATCCCTCCCCACTGACCACAGTTCAAGACCACAGTTCAAGACCACCTTGATTTTTCTTCAAGCCAGGAAAACAAGCACCTAAGACACCTTATGGAGGCAGGTATATTTAGAGTCTTGCATTTTGTAACACAAACTGACTGGTTTGACCATACGTACATGGAAAACTTGCCCTTTCCACCCTAGACCCACCGGTGGCCTTTCAGGTGCAGCATTTTCTGAAGTGCGCCCCAAACAAAACTCAATATACCAAACCTTTACCTCCTTTTGAACCCGTGTCTTGAGGGTAAGGCCTTACCTCATTTACTCTCCTACCTTTATAAATCCCTACTCATTCCAACTGCAAACTATACCCACAATACATTCAGAAATGGGAAGCAGAACTGAAAGCTCCTCTCACACAAAGTCAAACACATACAGCCATACATTTGGCGCATGGAGCATCCATATCCAATAGGTTTCAAGAACAGGGATACAAACTTCTGGCCTTATTGGTAGAGAGTCCCAGCCCTCCTTCACAAATTTTTCTGACAGGTCCCAATCAACTGTTAGATGTCAGTCAGTACTAGATACTTTTCTACATATATTCTGGAGTTGTCCTGTTGCATTGGTTGGGTCCTTAAAAAACAAACGCATTCTCCACCAGTATTGGCAGTCACTTTGTTAAGGCAGTGCACTGCCGGATCCATTGGGGTGAGCAAAACATCTTGTCAGGGTTTTTCCAAACTCTGTAGAAAATATCTGAACAAGGGGTACAGTGAGAATGCCTTTGAAGTCTTAGGCATTTTAAAAAGACTGGAAATAGCATTGGTAGAAACAACAGTCTACTCTTATTTCAGAGTGGTGTGCACCACATCAATAAGTGTGAAAACAGTGTCTTATTTGTGAGTTAGAGCAGAGGAATGAGACTGCTCAGGGGCAAGCCCATCAGAAAACAACTGAAGTGACTCGGAAACAAACACAGTGTCAGTTCTGATGCATACCCATGACATGTTGTGACTGCATGGCAGTAAGGCAATGTAAGGTTCAGTGTATAAAGGCAAGTCCACAGGTACTCAGGAAACCCATACATACAAAGCAGGTGAGAGTCGAATGACTGCAGGTGACCAAAGTCACTGTAGACAGGCGGCAGGATGGGATTTAGCAAGAGCAGCAGCATGAGATCCTTCCTCAATGCTGTATGGCAGGAAAGAGTGCAGATGTCACCTAGTGGATGACATCAGCACTCAATCCCACAATATTAACCCCTTTCTATATCTATCTATCTATATATATTCTATCTATCTATCTATCTATCTATATATTATATAATATATTATATATATATATATATATATATATATAATATATATATATATATATATATATATATATATATATATATATATAAATAAAGCGTCAGGAAGCGGAGAATTTTACAGGCGTCCAATCACCTATGCAACGGAGACGGCTTCCAGTACTCAACTCTGACCAGCCCACTCACAAAGTGACGCTTTAGAGATAGGGCAAGCACTGACGCAATGCCAATAGATCGGAATCTGGAAAGCACTTATGACTTTTTTATTGAAAGGGAGCCTGGAAAGCGCCTTACTTGGAACCGAGTGCCCATAGTTCACTTCCAGGACAACCCCAGAACAGTCAGTACAGCAGCCTATGGACACAACACCCCTGGGGGGCAGAATGAGGACAGCCATACTGGAAGGCTACAATCAGAGGCTAGCTGGAGCAGCAGTGTAGAGAAGAGATTTAATTTTAAAAAAAAGTTAGGAGGTTAGGAAAAAAAAAATTGTACTTGCAAAAAATGGGTTAGTCTTTTAAACATCATAGCCGAAGAAAGATATCCATCCTAGGACATAGCAAAAAAAAAAACGAAGATAAGCTAGTAGGAGGAAGTTTTGCTGGGCTGGCCTATAGTTTTTTGTTTTGCTAGTGGCCAATCCTGTAGGCAGCTTTTTTTTTTTTTCAATCCTTCGGTTGGATTGCTTTTGGACATTTCAACAGGTGAAAGGCTTCCTGTGTCCCTCAATGGATGGGAAAGAAAACAATATGAGCTCTGGATAAATAAACATGGTAATTTGCTGTGCACTATTGCAAATGAATGAGGCAGAATACTCTCTGCACCCAATGACCTCTGTTTCAACATATCCAACTGGCACCGCTTTGTTTTTGTACACACAAAAATGAGCTTTATAAAAATAGTTATTCCGCCACCCACATCAATGTATTTGGCTCTTGTACAAAGACATCATTAACCCTGGCAGTTAGGCTACAGTGAATCTGACGGCATATTATCACTGTGCATAGTTGTGCACATACAGTTTCAGAAAGCTGACAGTTCTGTACACTTTTGTATACTAGTCACCTGGTTATCATTCTAAACTCAAGGATTCAATGGTCTACTAAGATAGAGACCTGGAAAAAGTATGTAGGTATGGAAATCTGATATTAAAGCTTAACTAAACCCACAACAGTAAAATCTGTCTAAATATGCAGTAAAGCATGCTTGTTCAACTCACTGTGGAACCTAGGGGGTTAATCCTCTGCATTGTGTAAAAAGGACGTTTGATCTCGTCTTCTCAGATCCTCCCCTTCTTTTGCGGTTCCCAATTCATCTGCCATAGTACAGTGCAGAAGTGGCAAGTCTGCACATAATCTGTTTGGTGTGTATTGCTATAGAGTTTTTTTTTTTTTTTTGGAGGGTGCATGTGATCATCACAGGGCCAATTGGCACTGTCCAGACAGAAGGTCAGGGGTTATGCAGCCTCATAGGACAGTCAGAGCAGAATGAAAACACCTCCTACAAGATTAACTGGTGCTCTGCCTGACACTGATAGAAGTCACAAGACTGCTATATACTGCTAATGAGAAAAGGTATTTATCAGTTTATATTTACGAACATAACTGCATTTCCAAGTTCTGTATACTGTGGAAGACTGGCTATAGTGAATGCCAGATGCGGGCTCAGTAACCAATTAATATGACTACATGCCTATTCTGGATAAAAGACTTAGAACAGGGCTCAACAAATCCCAGGCGTCAGGTTGCCAAGGTGACTAGAAATTATGTCTTGGCACCTGGGTTCACACATATGTGTACTGAAATGGCAATGTCATTCTGCTTTCTGTGCTATCTCAGTACAGGTGTGATTTTGCCGGCTTTATACACAACTGTCCCCCATTTACTTCAATGCAAAAAACACCTCTCATTGACTTCAATGCAATGTGAACACTTATCTCCACATCTTATACCGCTACTAACTGCACAGGACCCTTTTCGTAATGGCACTCAAAACATAATGCGTGTGGATCGCATCTGTGTGAACCACCTCAACAGGAACACATAATATCTAGCTTGTCATGCGAATGCATCCAGAATCGCATGTGTGAACCAGGGCAGCTCCATTCACACTTGAGTGTTCTGCAATCACAACAGTGTCCCTGTGATCCAGTGCGGTTGTGAATGGCACCTAAAACGTGGTGCAGTTTTGCCGTGACTGTCATGTGGCAAATCGCATCATGTGAAGCTTGTCACCCAAAAGTTGCCTTGCCCCGGACTCTGACAACCCAGGCTATGCTTGAAAGAAAAAAAAAAAAAAAAAAAAAAACAAAAAAACACTAGCTCCTAACTTTTTTTAGCCAGCTCCTAGATTAAAAGTGAATTTATCAAGCCCTGACTTATAAGACAATGAAGCTAGAGACTGTCAGAAAACCAATCTCTTTAGATGTCAGCTATGGCAGCTCTAATTTTTCTGGCCTACTCAGATCTCCTTTAAACTTTGGAGAGCAGTGATTACTGCCAATTTACGAACCTCAAACACCATTATGTTAACAGTTTACAATTAAAAATCTAACCATTCTTTCTATTTGTAACTATTTTTTTTTTCTTAGACCAGATGTGAGAAGTCTAAAAACATATCAGATACCACAGATAACATATTTTGAAAATGGCAAGCTGGGGTTGTCATTGTTTTACCTTGTTAGTCATGCATTCAGTGAAATATGAAGTTCCAATTTGTGTAGTTCTGTATTGGCGATTCATTAAAGCGACCCCATACTAACTTGTGGGAAGAGATGGCCAGCAGACAAGCAGTACTGAACATAAAATGAGATTTTTTCAAGAAAGTTTTTACTGGTTTGGACAAAAATAACTTTTTTATTGCTATTACAATGCTGATGAATGAATGTATATACTGTGGCCAAGGGATTTTCTTAAAACGGTCAAGAGCTGTGCTGGAACAAAATGCAAAAAAGAAAAAAAATCTGTACTGAGAGCAACAGTAGTGCCACAGACCACTTGTTTCTTAAAATAAAACCCATTTGGCTGTCATATACTCATCTGGTTTATTGAATTACAATGTACACTGACAGAATAAGTTTACAGATCGATAGTTCTGTCTTCACTTGCTTGTTCAAAGTAATGAATCCAACAAAAAAAAATTAGCATGAGAAGAGGAAGTTTTATTTTTATAAGACATTTGGTTGGCTGACTCAAGAAAAGTATGAAGTCAAAGTTTTCACTTATCAAGCGGAGGGTGACCAGCCTTCATATATACTATATTGCCAAAAGTATTGAGACACTCCTCCAAATCATTGGATCCGTGTTCCAATCACCTCCATAGCCACAGGTGTATAAAATCAAGCACCTAGGCATACAGACTGCTTCTACAAACAATTGTGAAAGAATGGGTCACTCTCAGGAGCTCAGTGAATACAAGCGTGGTACTGTGATAGGTTTCCACCTGTGCAATAAGTCCATCTGTGAAATTTCCTTGCTACTAAATATTCCACGATCAACTGTTAGTGGTATTATAACAAAGTGGAAGCAACTGGGAACAACAGCAACTCAGCCATGAAGTGGTAGGCCACATAAAATGACGGAGAGGGGTCAACACATGCTGAAGTGCACAGTGCGCAGAAGTCGCAAACTGTCTGCAGAGTCAATAGCTTAAAGATGTCCAAACTTTGTGTGTCCTTCAGATTAGCACAACGGTGTGTAGAGAGCGTCATGGAATGGGTTTCCATGGCTAAGCAGCTACATCCAAGCCTTACATCACCAAGTGCAATGCAAAGTATCGGAAGCAGTGGTGTAAAGTACACCGCCACTGGACTCTGGACTCTCAGTGGAGACATGTTCTCTGGAGTGACGAATCACGCTTCTCTATCTGACAATCCAATGGACGTGTCTGGGTTTGGGCGGCTGCCAGAAGAACGGTACTTGCTTGACTGCATTGTGCCAAGTGTAAAGTTTGGTGGAGGGGGGATTATAGTGTGGGGTTGTTTTTCAGGGGTTGGGCTTGGCCCCTTCGTTCCAGTGAAGGGAACTCTTAAGGCATCAGCACACCAAGACGTTTTGGACAACTTCATGCTCCCAACTTTGTGGAAACAGTTTGGGGATGGCCCCTTCCTGTTCCAACATGACTGCTCACCAGTGCACAAAGCAAGGTCCATGAAGACATGGATGAGCGAGTTTGGGGTAGAGGAACTTGACTGGCCTGCACAGAGTCCTGACTAAAACCTGATAGAACATCTTTGAGATGAATTAGAGCAGAGAAACTGCGAGCCAGGCATCAGTGCCTGACCTTACAAATGTACTTCTGGAAAAAATAGTCAAACATCTGCACAGACACACTCCTAAACCTTGTGGACAGCCTTCCCAGAAGAGGTGAAGCTGTTATAGCTGCAAAGGGTGGCGCCAAGTCAATATTGAACCCTACGGACTAAGACTGGGATGCCATTAAAGTTCATACGCGTGTAAAAGCAGGCGTCCCAATACTTTTGGCAATATAGTGTACGATGGCAGAATCTGTTATATATAGTAATTGGTCTCCACATAGGACCTTTTAATACACAACGTGCAGACATACAGGTTTTCATGTCTTAATCTCAGAGGAGATGTACCGAACCCATAAAGAAGAAAATCTGTTATATATAGCACCAAAGCTGAGAGGAAATTACAGGCAGCTACAACTCTAGGAATAAACACCTAATAAATACAAAACAAAAAGGATGGGATTTGACACATTTATGAAAGGAAATTGGTTCACAGACTGTGCTTTTAAAGCTGTGCTAGTGACCTCGAGCTTTTGTGCATCACCTGCAAGAGACGCTCACAGCATTGATCTTGGCAGAAGCAGGGCATGTTATTTACAGATTCCATTTGATTTTCATTCTGTAAGAACATGGGAATCAATACTCTTATAACAAGGAAAAATACCAGGCCATTCCATTCATTAGAAGAATAGGAACACACATCTGCTTAAGGTGAATGCGCTACTTTATCTCGTGCGTGTTTTACTTACCGCTGAGGAAGCAGCCTGTCATTGGCCAGGTAACCTGGTTTGTGGACATCCTTGCTGTAATCTCCATATTTGGCTTGCACAGCATAGGAGGCTAGCAGGACGGCTGTCTCAGGAGGACAGTAAATCTCATCATTTAAAATTGCTTCTTTAACTTGTAAAAAGAATAGTCTTTGGGTTATTTCCTGAATTAACTCCTCCGACACATCCTCCGGGAAAAATTTAGCTCTGAATTTGAACTGCAGAGGGTTCTCTTTCCGGACATCTTGCTGAGTGACCTATAAAAATTAGATAAATGAGCATCTATTAACCAGAGGGCTTTACAAGAGTCATTTTGGGTCATGTTTGTTTATCCATGTAATTAAGAAACGTGCCTGTGTTGCCCCATAGCAACGGATTCATTCCACAGATCCCATTTCCAGCGGAGACTTGAATCTGGTCAATAAGGAGCATCACATCAAGTTGTTTCTTCAAACAAATAATAAGATTATACCCACTGTAATTAAATATGAGGGTATGCATATGCTCATACATTGGTATGGTTACCATGTGGTTTGTTCGTGGAATGGTCACAACAAGGCAGGCTGAAAGTGACAGACTCATGCCAATTCTTACCATGAGACTTCATGATGTGTACAAAATCATGCAGCTATCACACAAGACGACAGCATGGACTATGATCTGCGTTCAGGGCGACATGAGAGTGTGCACATAATGAAATCTGCATTGAAGACATGTTTGTACCTGTGGCCTTTACCTTCTTATTGATTTGCTTAGTGTTCATGCATATTGATCCCCAATACACTTTCACTGCACCTCACTTCTATTCAAAAGATATGTAGAAAGAGATGATAAATTGAAAAAACATCCACTAATTCAATGTTACAAGTAAATGAGCTTCCAACTGGCTTGTTACAATTACAATGGACTCTAGCCACAGTAAAAGACTATATGAGACACACACATCCATTCAGATAGGGAATGAGGCAGTCACTGAAGAGCTCGAGCACACGCGGGCATATAATATTCTGATTTATACAGACTTTCTATCTAATTTATACATATCATACATATGCAGTATTGTATTCTATGGACCCATACACACTGGTCTCCATTGATCTGCAGTGTAAAGTCATGTAAACCAAAAATGAAAAAAAAACCCAAGCGTTTGTTTACATGCGTACAGCGCAAACATACGCAGCCTGCCACCACTGTTCTGGGCAAACATGTGATTAACATACTATGGATGTTTTTTGTCAGCTCTGAATGGCTGCCTGCATTCTAACAACCAAGGTTACAGGGCCTATCAATAGTGTGTAATCAGTGGAGCCTACACATTGTTGATATATACATGTCAGCCCGCTGCAGCTGCCAATAGGGTACATTTCGCTGCATGCATATCAACATTAGTACAGACAATATATGTGTACATCATAAGGACAAGATTTTACATAGTTTGATGCAGAAGATCCTACATAATATTTACAGGGCTATAGATTTGATGATCTGGCAAATATTGGAAAGTTAGGTACACTTTCCAAATAAGGTTAAAGCATACGATCACCTCAAATGTATTAAGTCCATGGATAAAACTATGTCTGGTGTTTTACATTGACTCTCACCGGCCACTTTATTAGGTACACCTGTTCATTGTTTGGTAACACAAATTGCTAATCAGCCAATCACATGGCAGTAACTCAATGCATTTAGGCATCTAGATGTGGTGAAGACAACTTGAATTTCAAAGTGAGCATCAGAATAAGAAAGAAAGGGGATTTAAATGAATTTGAACATTGCATGATTGTTGGTGCCAGACAAGTTAGTCTGAGTATTTCAAAAACTGCTGATCTACTGAGATTTTCATGTAGAACCATCTCTAGGGTTTACAGAAAATGGTCCAAAAAGAGAAAATATCCAGTGAGTGGCAGTTGTGTGGAAAAAAATGCCTTGTTGATGTCAGAGGAGAATGGGCAGACTGGTTAAAGATGATAGAAAGGCAACAGTAACTCAAATAACCACTAGTTACAACCAAGGTATGCAGAATGCCATCTCTGAACGCACATGTTGAACCTTGAAGCAGGTGGGCTTACAGCAGCAGAAGACCACAACGGGTGGCACTCAAGGCAGCTAAGAACAGGAAATAGGCTCACCAAATGTGGACAATAGAAGATTGGAAAAAAGTTGCCTGGTCTGATGAGTCTCGATTTCAGCTGCGAAGTTCAGATGGTAGGGTCAGAATCTGTCATAAACATGAAAGCATGAATCCATCCTGCCAACGGTTCAGGCTGGTGGTGGTGTAATGGTGTGGGAGATATTTCTGGGTACACTTTGGGTCCCTTATTACCAATTAAGCATTGTTTTTAAACACCACGGCCTACCTAAGTATTGTTGCTGATTGTCCATCTCTTTATGACTACAGTGTACTCATCTTCTGATGGCTACTTCCAGCAGGATAATGCACCATGTCACAAAGCCCAAAATCAACAAACTTTTTTTTTTTTTTTTAACATGACAATGAGTTCACTGTACTCCAATGGCCTCCACGGTCACCAAATCTCAATCCAATAGAGCACCCTTGGGATGTGGTGGAATGGAAAATTTGCATCATAGATGCAGTTACTGAGTGATACTATGTCAATATGGAGCAAAATCTCTGAGGAATTTTTCCAACACCTTGTTGAATCTATGTCACAAAGAATTTAGGAAGTTCTGAAAGCAAAATGGGGATGAACCCAGTTCTAGCAAGGTGTACCTAATAAAGTGCCCGATGAGTGTATACTGGTGATGCCAACAGACAGATGCCACCACAACAGGTCCACGTTTTAGAGTCTCACTAGTCCAAATACAAGAGCACTCCATAAAATGAAGTTAATTATAAACTCAAACTTAATTAGAGACTCCCTTGTATAGACCATGGTGTGCAGACCCGGAGTTCTTACACAAATGTCACCAAAGTTCCAGAGACAGCGCGGTGATCTAAAGCAGCCCATAGATTATGCAATTTTCTTTCCTTCCATGACTGGTGGAATGAACAAAAAAAAAAATCCTTCCGTTGATCGGATGCTGATCAGTAGCTGGTTTTTCTAGCATGTCCATTTGACAGACGCTGGACGTTTGGCCAGCATCTATCGGACAGTCTGCTGTACACATGGGCCAAATGTCTACCATGTTTCTGTTAAACCAGCTGATACCTGCCAATATCTTTTATCCAACCTTTGGCTGCCCATGAAGGCTCTGGCTGTCCAGAATGAATGGCAAGGGGCAAGGCTTAGCATACTGTGTGGATAAAATGTAAAAACATTAATAAACTTAGAAAATGCTAAATAAATTTAATCTAAGACCATTAATATAGTTTCCTATTATTGTGAACAGACTAAAACGCTCTGAAATCAGGACAATCGCAACATTTTCATAATTGAGTTTGTAGCTCACTGAACTAACTTCTGCCTGGAATTGATCTGTGATTTTTATTTAGTACAGAGGAAACAAAACATCCAAGATAACTTTTCCTAGAAGTTCAATATGATATTGTGAAAAAGTGAATAGAAACAGAAGAAATAGGTCATCTTAAAAGGAGCTGAATTCTGTAGAATATTATGACCACAGTACAATTTTTTCACAGTGGTTCCTGGTATCCCATATGGTCCGCATTGTAAGAGGGATGCTTCACATTACAGACAGTAAAAAATATTCTGACCCCTGCAAATGCTTTGCCTCAGTTCTAGTTTTTCCAAATATTTTCAACTTGTTGCCCAGTTCACAAAATTATAAGAAAAGTATTGGAGGGATGAGGCTCCCATAGAAGCCAGGCATGCCCGCTTAACATTTCCAATGGCTAGCAGGGCAAGGGACCTCTCCAATCAGACCCGCCCACTAGTGGCTGAGCAGTTCATATATTTTAAATGTACAAGTTATATTTTTGTCCATTATTTAAACTAGACTAATAGCAGGACCAACCCCCAAAAATTCTTCAAATATATTAAGCTCTGTGTATACAAAGGAGCATGGGGGAGCTCTTGTCCATAATGCGCATGGTACTGACACAGCTCCAGATGATCCACATTGGGTCACAACTGATATGATCCAAAAACATTTAGACAGTACGAAGGTAAATAAAGCACATGGACCGGATGGCATACACCCATGGGTCCTTAAAGAATTGAGCTCTGTCATTTCAAAGCCATTGTTTCTCATTTTTAGGGACTCTTTAATGACTGGCATAGTACCACTGGATTGGCGTAAGGCCAATGTGGTGCCAATATTTAAAAAGGGGTCAAAGTCTTTACCAAGTAATTATAGACCTGTTAGTTTAATTTCTATAGTTGGGAAGACACTGGAGAGTTTAATAAAAGACCACATAGATGAGTTCTTGCTGTAAAAAATATTTTAATCGCTTGCCGCCCTGCCACTGTGTATATGTGTGCAGGGCGGCAGTGGAGCGCAAAAGCACGTTTTAAAACGTGCTCCACGCTCCCGACACATTCGTGGGTAGGGGGCGCGCGCGCGCTCCCGCCGACCCGCGGGTGATACGATTCGATCCAGGAGGGATCAATCATTAGATTTCAGCCAGTGATTTCTGGCTGAAATCACATGATCGGTCCCTGTCCTATCCTGTCCTGTGTTGATATTTACACAGGGCAGGATATGATGTCATTCTTCTCTGCCTGGACACATTCCGTTCCAGACAGAAAAGAAGACATCCAAAAAGTGAGTACACAAGCACTACACTACAGTTAGAACACTCTAGGACACATTTAACCCCCTGATCGCCCCCCCCCCCAGTTAACCCCTTCACTGCCCTGTCACCAGTGTCACTGATCAGTGAAGCGATTTTTACTGATCAATGTCGCTGGCGACTTCCGATAGAGTTAGCGCCCCTCCCAGATAGCGTCAGTTTGCCCGCTAATACACCAGTAGTCCCGTCTAACCCCTTGATCGCCCCCCCCCAGTTAACCCCTTCAATGCCCTGTCACCAGTGTCACTGATCAGTCAACCAATTTTTACTGATCACTGTATCAGTGTCGCTAGCGACTTCTGATAGTGTTAGCGCCCCTCCCAGATAGCGCCAGTTTGCCCGCCAGTACACCAGTAATCCCGTTTAACCCCTTGATCGCCCCCCCCCAGTTAACCCCTTCACTGCCCTGTCACCAGTGTCACTGATCAGTGAACCAATTTTACCGATCACTGTATCAGTGTCGCTGGCGACTTCTGATAGTGTTAGCGCCCCTCCCAGATAGCCCGCTAATACACCAATAATCCCGTCTAACCCCTTGATCGC